GAGAGAGAGAGAGAGAGAGAGAGAGAGAGAGAGAGAGAGAGAGAGAGAGAGAGAGAGAGAGGAGCATGGGGTCCACTGGTGGGTATGACCGCTGCTGCCATCCCACGTTGGCAAGTGTCGCATGCTTATCTGGGATAGGTGTGGCGAAGAACCAAGGAATGCCCGAAGTCCGAGAAACAGCAATGTGATGCAGCGGAAGGCTGAAAATGCACAGGTTCTGGGTTTACTTGGGTTGTTACCTTTCTAAGTTCTAGGTGCGAGGATCTGGGTCCTCGGCAGGCCTAAGGGGCCCCTGCAGCAAATGTGCCCGCCCTAAGTGAAGGCGGGCCAAACAAATTACGAGAGGCCCTTGCTGTCAATTTCGTATTTGGGGTCCAGGCAGTTTCGTCACGCCAGTTGGTTGAAGGAAAACACTGGCCGAGCAGTGTGGAAATTCCCAGGCCTTCTAGGCCCTGGGCGAGATTTGCAGCCTCATACACAGACAGTTGGGAGGCCCAACCGAATGAGGCCCAGTAGCTGCACCAGAGGCGCAGCATCCTGGGGCTTACCGGAAGCTTCTGGGCCCAGGCCAGTCCAGCCAGGCTGCCGAATGAGGCAGGCTCTTTCCATATAGGAAAGAGCTCGCTGCCTGGCCAGGCGTTCGGGCACTCGCATGCTGGCGGCAGCGCTGCTGGAGCTGAAGCTCGTGGGCTGCTGCTAGCGCTGAGAGGCGAGAAGCTAGCACGTGCGGTCGTGCAGGGAGCAGGGCGCTGCTGAGGGCAGCGCCATAGCCCAGCCTCCATAGCTGGCCGGCTTGGATGTACAGTAAGGCGCAGGGGTGATCTTCGGGTGTACAAAAGGGAAGACGTGGGAGAAAAACAAGGGAGAGAGAGAGAAGGACGATGATGATGATGATGTGAGGGCACATACCTGGTATTGGCGATGGTCAATTACTTCGAAGGCTGCTGACATCAACAGTTGCATTGTCAATTAGTAGGCTAGTAGTAGCTGTGTAGGGAGTAGGCTGGGCGGCGAGCGCCAAGTAGGGAGATAGGGTGTGGCATACTGCGTAGCCACACGGGCCTGCAGGGCCCGTCCCGCATTCTCAGCCTAAAAGCCTAGAAATAAGGGCTTACAGGCCCCGTGTCGTTTCAGCCTGAAAGATTGAAAACGAGGGCCTGCTGGCCCTATGTCGTTTCAGCCTAATACAGGGCTTTTCAGCCCTGAGTCCTTTCAGCCTGAAACGGAGGGCCACTTTCGGGCCCTCGTAAGATCGACCTGCCCTAACACTCAGGCACAAAACCAGGATTTCGGGAATAGGCTATTTTTGGCCTGTTCCCACGACAGCCTCAAGCAGGAGCTGCAGCGGCAGCCCCTGACTCCCTTCRGCATYGGCAAGAGCAGCCTCCTGGACTGCCTCGCCCTGCAGTCAGGAGGCAGGCCGAGTAGTACATAGGGAGTTCCCATGCACTTCACGGGTAGGTAGTTGGACAGAAGGCAGGAGTAGTCTTCAGGATTCGGCCGCAGCACTCAGGAGGAGCGCTGCCGGAGTAGCTTAGCGCTAGCAGTAGTCTTCAGCGCTGGGCGCTAGTAGCCATAGCAGTAGTCTTCAGCGCAGGGCGCTAGTAGGTGGTAGTAGTAGTGTTGGGGAGAGATGGCTGGCGGAGGCCAGTGAGA